GGAAGTTCATTTTGCCAAGGGACTGTTGAGGCACAGAGTGATTAAATGGCTTGCCTGTGGTCAAAGATTGTGGTAGACGTAGGAGAAAAAAAATCCAGCTATCTAAGCAAACATCCTAACCACTGGAGCATCCTACCTCTGCAGACATTGCCCAAGAAGGCAGAAATAATTGGGCTGGATTTTCTGGGACTGTATAACCAGTAATTAGATGGTCTCTGTTCTCTTGCTTTTGAAAGAGCAAGCCCTATTAACTTTTCAGCCTTAGTGTTTAAACTGTTTTCATGGTTGATACAGTTCAATTAGTCTTCTAGTTATCCATCCTTCATTGCTTTAACGGCATTCAGAATACTCATTCACTCCTTCATCAATCAGGGAGTCTGAACAGAAATTTCATTTGGAATTTTTTTTCTACAAACTGTAGTAATAGAATTAGCAATTTTGTGCCACATGTCAAATTTAATCAAACAAATTTATCAGTAACAAAATTTCAGGTGGCTTCAGTACAGGCAGGACAGGATCCATCAAGATCTATAAAAACATGACCAAGGAGCCAATCCCCCCATTCCTCCCCCTTTTATCCCCCACCCCAAAAATAACGGGGATCAGTGCTTTGCTGGACTGCTCCCGTGCTGGCTTCCATCGCTCTGCTCTTGGCTAAGGATAGCAATCCAACGGTGCAGAAACACAGAAATCGGTACATGGAAATCTGTAACAAAAGGACATCAGACCTATGCCTTACACACAGCTCTGGATCTCAGCTTTGTCTGTGTCTTGATGAGGAGCAGATCCTGTTTGTTAAAATCTGTTTGGGGTAATTGGTTCTAGAATGCAATAATATCCAACAAGTATTTCAGACTCAGGTTCTCTTGCACATAACTAAGAGTTTAAGCTCTAAAATGACTATATTTTTACATGAGAAATACATCCACGGAGCATTTATTACGAAACAACATTTTATCTCTTGCTTTTCTTGCTGAACAAACGACTTGGCTATTTTATGTCTTGACAAAGTAACTCGATCTAAGCATTTTAAGCACTGCTCACCTATTTTGTTTCCACCTCCTAAAATTCAGAAGCTCAGCTCCACCTTTTTCATCATTCAACAGCCACACTTCTGAGCTGAATAACCCCGAATATACAATCACTAATAAAATGCTGCAGAGTAGTATCTCAGAAGCATCTGCAGGTATAACAGTATAATTTAATATTGTCAAAGTTCTTTATAAATATTTACTTATAAGAGTTCTCCAGAATCCAGTATTTTCAGATTTAGTCTGTCCAACAAAATATGTTGATTAAAGTTCACCAGAATTTGATGATATAAATTCTTAAAGTGTTTCGATTTCCTTAAAGATTGTAGAAGTCTCCTTTGATCTGCTGTAGTGTTTTGCAAATGTGGTTAGTCTTTGGAGAGCTTCTGACAAACCTTCTCCTGTGATAGCACAACAGGGCTGTACATACCAATTTCTGTCACTGCAGTACTTCTTCATGTTGAATCTCCTGGTTATTTCCTCAGCGTTCAAAGCTCCAGGCAAATCCTGCTTGTTCGCCAGCACGACGACTGGTACACTTTTTATAAATTCATTCTTTAAAATGAGTTCAAATTCTTTCTTTGATTCTTCCAGCCGTCGCTTATCAGAGCTGTCCACAACATACAGCAGTCCGTCTGCGTCTTCCAGGAAATTGCACCAAACCTGTCTCATTTTCTGTTGCCCTCCAACATCCCAAAACGTCAATGTAAAATCTTTCCCGGTTTCAATCATATCAACATTAAAGCCAATTGTTGGAATTGTTAGAAAAACATCGTTATACTTGAACTTGTACAACAGTGTAGATTTTCCCGCAGAATCAAGTCCTAACATCAGTATATTAGCTTGCTTGACTTTGGAGTGTTTGGTGTTCTGGAGGCCCATTTGTGCCGTGGTGGTCTCTAGTAAGCCTTTAAAGCTGGAATTCACTGTCTTCTGTGAAGCCAATTTTTGTCAGTAAGGTGTCTGTCTTCCTCCGTGAGATGAAGCACAAAGAGTAAGGAAGAGGAAGGGGAAGAAGCAGCTTTGCACTATGAAAAGTAAGTAAAATCTCTGGACAAATACATGCTGGCTTTTATCAACTTGATAAAATGCAAACAGTATTTACGAAGTGTCATGTTCAATGCCAAGCCTGTGGGTGGAACAACTATGAGTAACGTACCAATTGGTCATAAGTGCAAAGGTTATAGTCTTTGAACATGTTTGAACAATGAACCACACTTCCATGACCAGTTAAGAACTCCTTACACTGTAAAATGGTGTGTACTGAACCAGCAGCAGCCTGGTTATACTGCCTAATCCCATGGTCCGGGGAACCGCTAACTGTCTGCCCCATTTCAGTGTGTGCCCAGAGATAAATCCCTTTGTTACTGCATCTGCATCCATTTTGGAAAAGAAACGAAATAGAAACACAGCCAGTGAGGAGGGGAAATCTTAAGGTTTGTCCATACTTATCAATCTACAAAATGAGAAGGTACCTGATTTATTGGTGCATCTCATCTCCCAGCAACAAATTAATCTCAAGTGGTTTCTAATATGAGTCTACATGGGCACAGGGACCCAATCAAACCATAAGAGAACTCCACTTCAAAATGTGCTCTGCTTTAACTGGCGGCCTCAGGCTCCATCAGTTACTCCTCCCGCCCACTCATGCATGAAGTTGTCTGCTTTGATTACGCTGTCTGACTTGTAAACTGTGAGTTATGTTTGTATGAACAAGTTTAACTGCACTCTGGTGGCGGAGACTAAATATAGATCTTATGATCTGGTCATTACTGAGATTCAGCTACCTGAAAGTAAAAATTTCTATTAGCTTCATTATGCTCTGTTCTGTTTTTGCCCACTGATCTATGACCAAGATAGGAACCAGAAGGGGGGAAATAACTGAGTCTCCATCAAAAGATCATTTTTTTGCCAGCATTCAAACGAGCAGAATAAATAAAGGGGAGATAGAAAATTTAGTATAATATTATTTAATTCGTATTGAGTCTCCATTTTTTTGAGTTAGCAGACCTGCCTTGGGCTGGTCCAATGCATACCAAGTATTGCAGTACTTAGTTGCCCTTATACCCAGATGCACTAGTATTAGTTATTACCATTTGTCTTTGCTTCAGAAAGTACCTAATCAGCAAAAAGATTTAAAGGTCTTCTGGCCAAATGAGCTGCTGACTGATAGGGTAATCATTTTGATAATTACAACATTGGTTGCTCAGATATTACACATGTTGCGTAAAATAAACCTCAGTCTTGACAGACAAGTTATAATCTGGTTTCTCTTGAAGCTAAAAGGGTTATACCAGAACTAATTGGGGGCAACAAAAGATGACAGTGACATACTCACTGTTGTACATTTTTCATATTTAATAACATGTATAATGTATAGGATTTTTTTCAGGAGCGGGTCACGATGCATTAAACCAGGGAAGAAAGTGTTTGCATTTCTTTATAAATAACGTACATGAATGAATTGAAAGATGGGGAGACAGGAAACTGTGCAAAACACATTGTTAACACAGTCAAATGAATCATAATTCCCTGCAAAATAGCGTGCCATTTCCTTGAAATATGGTTATCTTGATCAAGGGCAAAACCTCCCTCCTGTGCGAGCAGTGACAGAGCGGATGGATGGTCTGTGTCCCGGGGTAGCGCTGCAGTTTGAAGATTATTCACAGTTCTCTGCTCTGTATGTTTGCTCCAACTGTATTTGATATTTATGGTCTCAACTGTTACTGCTTCAGACTATCACTTTAAAGAAGTGATTACGCAATGTCTGACTTTTTACAAGCTAATTAAATTTATTTCCAGGACAGAATAGCTAGCTTCTCAAGACTCCATGGTTTTGCAGTTTTTAACTGTACCCGAGTCAAACGTGACTTTGGTTCAGAGCAAGATTTTGTGATGCTAAGCCACTTCCAGTGATGATTTCCCGCCCTACTTTGGAGTTTGTATACCCGCATGAGATCAAAACAGAGCCGTAGTCAGCTGCACAAGATACAGCACGATGCAGACTTCTGCTTGCAGGTTCTAAATCTACATTTGCACTGAGAGGCAAGCATTTGAAAGAATGAGAAATCTACCTTCGGTTTGTCCAAAGGTGTATTTGCTTTGCTGGGGTGAGGCCATCTTGCTTGTGTAGGGTTTGCCTGTATGTTCAGTTTAAAAAACCCAGAGTAATAAAACTGAACTGGGACAGCTGATTTTCCATCAATTATTCTGAACTCAAACTTTGCACAATAAACCTTTCGTAAACTATGTAGGTTCCCAAGTTGTGCAAGCAGGATATTCCACCACAGCTGCATGCTTTTGTAACGTTACAAAATATAATTAATGTAATAATTTAGGGAGGCTTGGGGGTGAATCCTCACCATGATCAACTCTAGTAGCTGAAGAGAGCAAGTTCGATTCGAAAACGCCTGTCTCTTCTTCCCTGGAATCCATCAACGTTAATCTCACACCTCGCTATGCTGTGATTTTTAAAAGAAGGAACCAGCTGGAGCCCTACGAGGACTGTCAGGAACAAACCCAGCGCCAGACCGTGCTCCAGGCGAAGGCCAAGAGGCCACGAACGCCATTTGCTACGCCCTCCCGGCGCTGCGAGGCCCGCCGCGACCCCTGCGAGGAGGCGGAGGAGGAGGCGGGTATTTCCCGGTGCCCGCCGCGGCTGGCCGCACCCTGCTTCCCCAGGGCGCGGCCAGCGTTTCCGAGCGAGACCCGCGGCCGTT